CTATAAAATGTTTAGCAACACTGGGGCGTAATAGCCATAGATCTTCTCCAAACAAGGGAATATACAACTTGTGAGAATGACTTTTTCGACACGGAAATTTACAGCAGTGCGACATCACAATTACTTACGTGATATTTACTCGCAATCTGAGTTATGGATCGTCAGTTTAAACAGGACAATATAGACGAATTTCACAAAAGGCACGGAGATCCAACATGTCTATGATATACTCAGAGAACGCACCCGCCTGTGCTATCCGGTCATAATCGCTACTCGATAAAAACAATTTTTCATTTCATGTCTCACAGAATATATAATTTGATATGGCATTGTTTCTTATTGTATACTTTTGCGTTAGTGAAACAAACTTTAAAGTTTATGTATGGCGTTATTACAGCAAAGGCTGAGCGAATGGAAAATAACATGGTTCAGGCACTGTGAGACTATTAAGAAGGTCTCATGCAGTGCAATAATATTCCAATTATGTACTGCCACAAAATATTTTACAGTAGATGCGCGAGCTGATAGGACTTAAGAAATTACGAGTTGGTTCGTGTAGCATATTTGACTGCGCTCCAAGAGAGACAAAGTGCTATTCTTTTGGGGCAGCGAGGGACACTTGCGAGGACAAAGGGGCAACGCATCGCCCTTTGTTCACCACTGAATCTTTCAATCCCTCGAAACATGCACCTCACAAGATTTGCCAACACCACAGACAAGGCGTAACTGATACTGGTAGCAAGAGCGAGTGCAGCTTAATAAGGCGTGTTAGCTTGCGTAATACCGCTTTCTTTGTCAGGCTCTTTGGTGATAAGAATATTGAGGTCACGTGAACGTTGATTTCAAACGTACTAAAATGTGTGAAAGTGAAATTACATGAGCCAAGTAATTCACATGATGGAAACATGATCATCTTGCTTGAGTACAGGTAACATGATGGTGTATGAACCGTTCATATACTAACCCCTGAAATCCGGTATGATACATAAATATCTAAGGTGTGTAAACATTTGCAAATTTGAAAATTTACATGTGTTTTCCCACCTAAGTAAATTCACATGTTTCCAACCCGAGTAAACTTAGAACGAAATTGGAAATTTCAGCACCCATTGAAATTCAAAGGAATGCATTGGAAATACTGTATGATCATGTATTTACCGGGGTATCTGTTTTGCAATTCATATTTGGAAATCCCTGACAATCCGGTCAGGGCATACATGAACGAGGTGCTTGTGCAAACGAAAATGTACGATGAGCATATGTTTCAAAGGTATAGATTCATATGAAATATATGCCCGAAGTTAGGAAATATCTGAAAACATACGTAAACCCGGTCATGGCATGTATTTCCTACTATATTTACGTTTATTTCAATGGTTTACTATCCGGTTTTTGGTGCTGTGATCTTCATCAGCATGTGCCATTTTCTTAAACACGAAAGATTGGTCTTCAAATATCCCCATTGGATACTGTCACGCCTAGGGGGCGTAACTCTGGACAACTCTGACAACGTTGGGTCGTTACCTACCTGAGTCACAGGCCAACCAGTGACAGATATATAGAGTACATATCCTGTTTGGATCAACTGTCACAAAATATACTGATCATGATATGTATCTCAACGTTTCGAGTTATTCATGTTCAGAAGAGTTTCTTCGAAAGCGGTTGAATTCGGCGTTAAGAGGTTGGAATCCACCAATTGCACCGACCAAGATCTTTAAACACGTGTCTGAGCAAATCGGTAAACGTTTACTACTTACGACACACTGATTTATACATCAGGGATAGAGAGAGAAACAAAGGAGAGATTAAAAAGGGAGTGAGAGAGAGAGAAAGAACGAGAGAGAGAGTGTTGAGAGAGAGAGAGAGAAGAGAGAGAGAGTGTTGAGAGAGAGAGAGAGAGAGAGAGAGAGAGAGAGAGAGAGAGAGAGAGAGAGAGAGCATGTATCCTCTATCGTACATAAAGTTAACATGAGCGTCAATACAAATGAAGTTCGATTTGTCTGGTCGATGCATCTTTCGTGCTGTAATACAAGTACTCCGTCATGTAGTCCATGTTTGTTATCGATTAGTGAGTTTGTAGTATCGTCTCATTAATCATAGTCAGGATAACACCAGCAGCTGCAGGTAAGGGACACCTTGTGTTGTGTCACGTGATAACCTGCAAACGATAACACCCTCCGCCACAGCTTTCGTACATTAAGGGCAGATTAATTAATATCAGCACCCAGTACTTCGATTCTGTTGTCCAAAACCTCATTAGCTGGATGTGTCACATTTGCAGGCGATAAAATGGAACATTCCATCAATACTGATACTTGACATTCTAAAATAAATGCATTTGCAACTGATTTGGAGTTAAATGTTTTCATGAATGATTCCTATTACGAACATACGCCACGCACTTCTTAATCGACTTATATCATTGATACTTTTCGACAAATACAGGGAAATGCTTTTTAAATCATTATCATAAAACATTGTCATTGTGTTAAGCAAAACACGTCTCCAAAATAGAATTACGACATATATATTTCTCTTAATTGATTTTCCCATTATGTCCAACGGATCGAGAAAAAGAGCGAATGATGTTTTTCCTTTTTTACATAATTCATTGAATAATGAGAGCCGTCTTTTTGTGGATGAAAGCTGAGATTCTTCGTGACATAATGATTTTGATGTGATGGAAAAAATAAGATCATTCCTATTATTCATGTCTCAATTACAAATGGATTAGCATGGCCCACGTATAATGAGTAACGAGCTGAAAGATGCTGAGAGAATGAGGGTTGTGTACTGAACAAGAGTATGCCTGTGAACGAAACCCATCGAGACTACGACTACATGTTTCGTGTTTCATGTGTTAAATAAGTTTGGGTCTTCCTAACATTGCTTGGTTTCGTTGATAGCTTTACGCTGAACTCAAATTTTGCCTTTAACCAAAAATAATTAGTTGTAAAAAGCACCTCCTTTCAAGTGCATTTAGCGTTAAGCTCGTTATGGCTATTTTCAATGACTTCTTCATGCAACAAAGTGTTTGGTGTTGAATTAACACTATCCACGAGTGAGTGAGGTGAGCGGGGGTGAGCGAGGGTGAGTGAGTGAAACAGTGAGGTGTGTGAGTGGATGGGTGAGCAGATGGATGACTGAGTGAATTATTGCAGTTTTACTCCGCAGTTAGCAATATACTGGCAACATCACGCTGAGGAACACCCGAAATTGGCTTAACGCATTGTACCATGTGTAGATTCGAACCAAGACTTCCGTTGTGATCAGAGAACGTTTTAACCCCAAGGCTGCCCCACCACACCATAACAGAATAACTATAGCGTATTTCCAGCTTGGGTATGGATTTGACGCGTTCACCTTGCTTTTCATAATCACAGATGTAATTCTTTTCAAAGGTTTTCTTTTAGGATTTGAAACCATTGCAAATTATTTGGTTTCATCTTATTGCAGCTCCTTCTTCCATTCATAATGGTCGACCAAAGGAGTATAATTACTTCCGCTAATCCATTGATCATAGGCTCAACATTTCAATAAAATCGTTCAACAAAGTATAACTTCTGGACTCTGTTGGTTTTCATGTTGGCGTCATACTCAATATTCTTCTCCCGAACTACGTCTAATGAGACATGAAGTCGACGGTCCACGGATCATAGTTCATACTGTTTTATCTTTGTCATATTTTAGGGGATGTAGACACAGAAAAGTTGCTGTGCAGATACTGTTCTACAACAAACGACTTGTAAGAGGAAGTTGCACTTCTCTCCAACAGAGAAATACTGCTTCAATACATCTGTGTCTACCATCTTAGCATCGTGGAAGTGGCCAGCTGCTTTGTTTATCCGTTACCTAGCAACAATCGATAAGCGTGTACCGACGACAAGGACAGACTGTTAACAAGAGCTATGGAAGCTCACAGTATTTGTTGTTCTACATTGAGCATTGCCCCGAGCGCTGAAAGAACAATAAAATTACGAATACAAATGCAAATAGGGAGATAGTTTTCAGTGAGGCGTCAAAGAACGTTCATTAACGCCGTGAAAAATGTAATGTAAGATTTATAGCCTCGTCACGGTGAATTTAGTCATGGACATTTTACACGCTGTTCGTGTGTTGGTTTTCAGATAAAAATAATGTTATGATGAAACCCGTATTTTGTGGACTTTGAGCGTAATTTCTGTTGAAACATTAAATATTTTTTGAAATATCAGTTCTAACTCGACGTCATTTGCTGTGTGATGTATTCCTGGACTCACCGGACGCCTTTGACGGTGGGTTCGAATCCCGATTCTGTTTAAAAAGTTGTCTGCACCAAACCATACTCGTGGATTTTATGGGGCGATGGGGTAATCTAGTGGTTAAAGCGTTACTCCGAAGACCCTGGTTCGATTCCCTACATGGTCACATTGTTCGGAGCCCATTTCTGGTGATGTTCCTGGAGCATTGCCAAAAGCGGCGTAAAACTAAACTGACTCACTCACTCGTAGGTTTCATCCTAGTGGTAAACGTGAGAGACCTGCATCAATTGGATGCCCTGTTACATTAAGCTGACGCGCCATGATGTTATTTGAATGCTATTTTAAACGGCGTTAAACCCGACTCACTCACCCACTCACTAACACACCATAGCTTCTAACATATGCTGAGTCCTTCCTTGATAATATTGGGCGTAGGGGTAGCCTGGTGGTTAAAGCGTTCGCTCGTCACGCCGAAGGCACAAGTTCGAATCCCCACATGGGTACGTACAGTGTGTGAAACCCATTTCTAGTGTCCCCCGCCGTGATATTGCTGGAATATTGCTAAAAGCGGCGTAAAACCATACTCACTCACTAACACCTTGGTAATAATCCTTGGTCCATCATCTCTGCCAGTCCTCCGACAAACTTTGACCTGGAAGTATTTGGTTTTAAAATGTCAAAGGGTAACCGTGGCATGTTGGATGTCATGTGGGATGGCTTCCGATGTGTTATGTCTAGCTTCTGTTTCTTCCCTAGGGCTGGCACGAGGGTGTTGTGTGTTTACTGAGGAATGGCGCCAAGAAGACGAGTTGTGACAAATTTGGACGTACCCCTCTTCACGCAGCAACATACGACACAGATAGAAGGTAACATGGTATTCAAATTTGTATTCTCAAGAAACACACAAACATTTTTGAAAATAAACGATGACTGATTTCCATAAACATAAGAAATCTAAAGAAATGTTTTGACATCAGTATCATTTCAAAGTCTCCAGAGAATTTTTACACACATGTGATCTCGGATTCCGGAAGGGTTATAGATTCCCAGTAGAATCGTCGTGTCCTAACTAACTGGATCGATGCCCGTGACCAATCAGCGGGTTGTCTGATCGAGACTAGATATACAGATCACTCTCATATAGCCGGAATATTGCCGATATTAAACAACAGATAAACAGCATATTTTATATAACACAAACAACAAACAAAATGAAATCCTTATTGATAAGAGACTTGTGCTCCAGAAATATCAAACTATTTGTTCCTGGTTAGCACCGATTGAATGTTTAGTGTAAATGACCATTCACAAGTTCACTTGCATAGCAAGATCATAATTCAGGTCATGATTCTATCGGATGAAGGCGTAAAAATATACTCCGAAACGTCATGTTCCACAAATGAAAGAAATTGTCATCAATAAATTCTCGTCTTTATGACATAATTCATTACATGAACTTTGTCCTGTACTTGTCATGCAATCAATCCACAGGGCTCTTCCCGAGGATGATCACTCTTCACATCTCTAGCAAACCGTACTGATCCTCTTCACAGCTCTAGCAAACCGTACTGATCCTCTTCACATCTCTAGCAGACCGTACTGATCCTCTTCACAGCTCTAGCAGACTGTACTGATCCTCTTCACAGCTCTAGAGACCCTGCACTGATCCTCTTCACAGCTCTAGCAGACTGCACTGATCCTCTTCATATCTCTAGCAGACCTGTACTGATCCCTCTTCACAGCTCTAGCAGACCGTACTGATCCTCTTCACAGCTCTAGCAAACCGCACTGATCCTCTTCACAGCTCTAGCAGCTGATCCTCTTCACAGCTCTAGCAGACCGCACTGATCCTCTTCACAGCTCTAGCAGACTGTACTGATCCTCTTCACAGCTCTAGCAGACCGTACTGATCCTCTTCACAGCTCTAGCAGACTGTACTGATCCTCTTCACAGCTCTAGCAAACTGTACTGATCCTCTTCACAGCTCTAGCAGACCCTGCACTGAGCAGACTGTACTGATCTCTTCACATCTCTATCCCTCTTCACAGCTCTAGCAGACTGTACTGATCCTCTTCACAGCTCTAGCAGACTGTACTGATCCTCTTCCTCTCTCAGACCGCACTGCTCTAGCAGACTGTACTGATCCTCTTCACAGCTCTAGCAGACTGTACTGATCCTCTTCACAGCTCTAGCAGACCTGTACTGATCCTCTTCACAGCTCTAGCAGACTCGTACTGATCCTCTTCACAGCTCTAGCAGACTGTACTGATCCTCTTCACAGCTCTAGCAAACCGCACTGATCCTCTTCACAGCTCTAGCAGACTGTACTGATCCTCTTCACAGCTCTAGCAGACTGTACTGATCCTCTTCACAGCTCTAGCAGCCCTACTGATCCTCTTCACAGCTCTAGCAGCCCCTCTTCACAGCTCTAGCAAACTGCACTGATCCTCTTCACAGCTCTAGCAGCCCTTCACATCTCCTCTTCACAAATACATTGCTCTGGGTTTCAAACTGATCCTCTTCATATCTCTAGCAGCTTTGTCATCAACAGCGATTTTCAGAGGCCATTCCTAAAAGATGTTTCCAACAGGGTCAGTTCTTTGAGGTTGGCGTTTTGTATCTATTGTGTTTTAATCAATCGATAAACTGACCACATACATTCACATTTGTACTTCTAGATGTTAGTTTTGTTCCTCGTCTAACTTACTTAAAAGTCCTAAATCCCCAAAGTTAAACCACGGCCAGTTATGTGCTGTCAATGGCAAACCACTCAGTTCACCTGCTGTGCACAACAACAAAATACACTGACCACTGACTCGTGATTCTGACGGTAATGCAGGAACATCCATAAAAACCCATTGTGAAAGCGGTAATTCCGTGTAACTGTAAACACAATTTCTGAAAATATTTACGTCAACAACAATGATAACTCAGCATAATGAACACTGAGAAGCAAGTACGAGGATCAGGCAATAAGTTTCAGAAAAATCAATAATTATCAATTTGATGTACCATAAATAGAAACGTTATTCAGTAACGATTACTCGGTGTTCCGGACACCTGTGAATCCGACGATTCTGGAGGGGACACAACATTCCTGATTAGGTGGGTGAGTGAGTGAGTTCACAATATTCCAGCTATATGGCGGTGGTCTGTAAATAATCGAGTCTGGGCCAGACAATCCAGTGATCAACATCATGAGCATTGATATACACAATTGGGATACGATGACATGTGCCAACCAAGTCAGCGAGCCTGACTACCCGATCCCGTTAGTCGCCTCTTACGACAAGCATGGGTTGCTGAAGATAACATTCCTGTTTAACGGAGCTGCCCTGTTTAATCATAATGATCACATCCCCGACCGAGTCATACCAAAAGACGTTAAAATATGGTACTTGTTTGTTCCTGCCTGGCGCTCGGCATTAATGGGTACAACAAGGACTGGTCGACTCGGAGTCAGTATAATGTGTCCGAGTGGGGTATTCATGCTTCACTGCGGCATGGCATCTCAGAGGGCTAGCACTATAAAACCAGCTTAAGTCTGGGCTAGTACAAGCAGCCGCACATACACATACACACGTATGCACGTCGTCATATGAGCGAAATATTCTCAAGCACGACGTTAAACCCAATTTCACCTCACCTCACCTCATACTGATCAGGCCAACCAGTAAAGCTGCAATGCTGGATGTTTGTCAGCACCGTGCTCTTGGGTTTGTTGTGAACATCTAAGACCGTCATCATTTCTAGTTTTCTTCCCACATTCAGGTGATACGTTACGCGTTAAGCCTTAAACCCAACTCACTCACTCATTCATATTCAATATACACTCGCTTTGGAGGAGAGAGTAAGTAATTTCTCTTAATTAACAGCATCAGGAACTGCTACCAAATGTAGGAAAATGTGAGACCTCACTAAACCGGACATAAGCAATCCAGGACCTAGTCAAAGTGTTCCTGTGTCAGCCGGACACATTTAATCCATACCTCGTTTATCAGGGGGTTGCTGGTCGGGACAGAATTAGCCTTGATACCCCAGACCTGGTTAATCCGGACACCGCTAGCCTCGGTAGTCCAGGCCTAGTTAATGCTGACATTGTTAAACCAGACCTTCTTAACCCATACAGATTTGATCTCGATAATCCAATCATTAATTCAACCGCTTATCCGAATCGAATTAATCCTGAGGTCGGTATCCGCCAATAGTGTTACCTATCATAGGATTAATCCATTCATTTTCAACCGCAACACCTTTTTGACAAAAAGTGAAAAATGCATTTATTACAGTTCCCATGTAATATCCAGAAGGAAACTAAAACTGTATAGCGGAAGAAGGGTTATATTCAGGTCGTTAGAATACAGTAAACCAAATGTCGTTCAGCACTTGACTGTCGGAACTGTTCTGTCTAGCAATTATAGTACGCAGCAAACAGTCAGGTAAAAAACGAGTAAAAAGGCGGATTCACGTATTCATGCATGTGGAAGTTCAAATACAATCCCCACATGGGTACAATATGTGATGCCAATTCCTGGTGTCCCCCGCCGTGATATAGCTGGAATATTGCTAAAAGCGGCGTAAAACTAAACTCACTCACACTCAAATACAATCACACACTGACACAGACAAATCCCGCACTTTTCGTGCCAACATATATTACAGAGGCATGCATGCGTTGACGGACATCAAAGCAGGGTTGAATTATCAAAATAGATGCTAAAAACTTCATAAATAATTCATTCAGCACCATTCAGTTTCCGATAAATCCCAGCTTGGCATCACGCATCCCTGTTGCAGCATCAAAGAATATGGATTGACTGTTCTCTCATTCACATTCACCATACATAGAGGTTATAAAATACTTGTAAATAAAACAACTATATGAGGATGCCATGCCAAAGAGACACCACACATTATGACGTCATTATCAGATCTTACATAACAGTAAAGGTGCGATACCCGCTAACCATATACCTCACCCTGACCAGCAGTTCGTGCTGAAGTAGGAAGACATGCCTACTGCAAGAATCAATAGTCCATGTCTACTATTTCTACCTGCAGCAAATGACAGCACTTCACTGGGCAGCTTTTCACGGCCGCCCAACCCACCTCGAAGACCTGATTGCCAGACAAGCGGACATATTTGCCCAAGATATAGACGGGAAGACTTCCATGCACTGGGCTGCACAGGTGAGCCGACTGTAGATAGGTAGATAGACCTAGAAATGATAATCCAGACCATTTAATTTCAACGACGGGGAAATATAGGTTTAGTTCAGCACCATACATGGAAAGGGTAAGACCAAAAGAGATAGCGATGGAAGAGATACAGGGCCCATTCTGTTTTGAACATTAGGTATGTATGCTGTTAGTGTGGAAATTGGTTTCCGGATTTACATGGAAGAAATCTGGGTTGTCATAGCATACTGAATTTCATAGCGTTGGTACCGTGTTAAAATCTTTATCGTACCACCCCTGTGATGTTCACCTTTTTACATTTTAGTCATACATTCCCACTGTTCTGTTGTACCCTTTTCGAACACTCACTGATGCATCATGCACTCTGAAGACACGCATGCCTACTGTTGTATTAAGATACTTACATGTCATACAAGCACATTCGTGAATTATTAAT